GGCATAGAAATTTACCCCCGATGAAGATCTGTCTCTGTGTAGTTCAGATTTTACATGCATGCCTCATGCACACAAATAATACCTGTTTCATGCAATATCTAGCAGTGTGAACTGCAAATTAGACCATAAACTCTTAGGTGCAGAGACCACTGAGCCTTTAAGAACACCAGACACATTCAAGCTTAAAACCCAACCAGGGCTACCAGTCATTACTTGTTAGAGCAAGGCATAGCCAATAGCTTTAAAAGGAATTCCCTCATTAATTTGAAGTTGCTTTTACCCATGACAGGCCATAAAATCTGACTCTGTGGGAGGGAATGTTTGCCTCTATGCATGCGTATGTCTCAGCCTTTTTATTTTCAATGGGGAGAAAAAATAGAGTGGGTTAAATATTGGATACATTAGCTTAGTATTAAGCTGCCATTCCCAATCTCTTTTGGATAACTGGAACAGAGAATTGCTGCTCCTCATCCATCACTTTAAATGAAGGCCTTAGTAAAATAATTTTGGTCGCTGAGAACCACAAATAGGATCCCTCTATCCAGATTAGTTCTTTTTTGTTCATGAAACTGTCAGAATAGGTCTTAGCACTCTGAGCCATAGCAGGATGTATGTCAGCACTTTTACAAGCCTTTGGGGAAAACTGCTCAAATGTGTTTATAAGGACCTCCCAGGAAGTGTTTGGTGTTGAGCCTGAAGAAAAATGTACTGGAATTTTTATGGTTTGATTTTGGTTGTTGTTTTTTTAATTCTACTAACATACTCTGGAATGCTGGTAGTAGTGCAGTAGGTTTTGCTCCTGTTGATGTAAAAAAGGTTTTACTAAAAGTTTAGGTCTTATTTCATCAAAGATTTGTGAAACTCGGGACTTAAGAGTCAAATTTAGTTGTAGCTATGCCTCCTGAACACTTGATAGTAACCATGCAAACTGATGCAGTACAGAACAAGTCACTAATTCCCAGTCTTCAGCACCAGCTGATTCCTGTGAACTCAGGAACTTTCTTGTGGGTATTCTGAAAAGCCTCATGAATCTGAAGGTTTTTAGTGTTTTAATTTAATAAGGTCTTGTGGATCAGCTGTACACCAATTACTGTTGCCTATGGCTGTAGTTTATGACTGTTTGAGCTACAAAAAAATCAACAACCAACCTGGCAATTCATCTGTGTTAGTCTCATGTAATTCTGAAATGGTTCCATCTTGCTCTGTTTTGCCCATACATCTGTATTGCAGTTCATTTCCTTAAAACTGGGAGATTGCTCACTGCTGGAGTTCAAAGAGGCAGGCATGAGGTGAAATGCAAGCTTCAGGTGAAATGTTATTTGTTCTTCGGGTTATTTCAAGCAAAAGGGGAAAACCCCTCAGATTTGGGGTACTCCATCCATGACAAAGGGCACAGATTGAACATTTTAAGGGTGCTACAAGGATGCTGATGGTTGCTTTAGTAATCTGTGTAGTCTGCCATGAATTTAAGGCAATTAAATATCCAGTGCTGCTGTTGACGAGCCAGGCTTCGACAGACCTTTTAGAAACCTTCTTGTCTTTTCATGTAAGTAGACATTTGGCTGTGTTTTAAAATCCATACCCCCTAGATTTTGTAATGCATTTCCTTTTTTCATGTGTTTCGTGTTTAATTCAAACAAGCATCTGACATGAAAGCTAAAGATAAAAGTATAACATAGTACAATTAGTTTCTGTGAAGTCTGCAGATCACTAATGGAACACATCTCTTCCCCCTGCACAACTAGCATAATACAGATCATTTTTTGGTCATTTGTGTTGTACATTAAAAGCATCAAATAGAGTGCTGTCATGTGCCTGGGCGCATGGACAGAAAGTTCTTTTGTTTGATAATGTTGGAAATAATTTTGCATTCCAGATACACAAATCAGTAATTGCCGCAATTGGATCAGAGACATGTAACACTTGTAATGTAACCCTTCATCTAGTAGTAAAAATAATGCAGAAATTAGATCAGAGACCAGACTTATATATATATATATGTATATATATACAAGTTTAGTAAGCTGTGTTTCTGTTTACACCACCATCATTGTCTAAACTGTGTTTCATGAATGTGTGTTGTGATTTCATTCCGGCTAATCTCCAGCTCTTTCTGATCAAAGAAATACAAGCTCAGGAGTACAATTTAAAGCAATGTACTGGACTTGCTCATTTAAATCCACAGAGCCTCTCTCTAAGAAGCCGAGTTTGGCAGCATATTTAGCGGGGGGGGGAGGGGCTGGAAATTTGATTTAAAAAGCATGTTGTGGAAGTGGAGGAGAAGTATTTATTGACAGCAGACCTGTGAACCTCTTTCCTATTTATTAAAGCTCAAAGTACAGACTTTGGATCTAGACTTGGGTGCAAACTCCACCAGTTTCATACGTGCCTGACCTGGTGCTCTATTTCTTTGGAAAGCAAGCTTTCCATTTCAAAAAAGGCAGGTGGTTTTTTTGGTAAGATTTAGAAGAGCTGTGTCACATTCTCCCTTTTTTACTCACTCTTTACAGAACATATGGGTTCTTTTCAAACGATAGCATATTTGTAGTTCTGTATTAGTTCAGGTACAGGAATATTTGTTCTTATTTTAGATTGACACTGTTTTAAAGCAGCTTGGGTATGTAACAAAGTTACAGAAGATGCTGCACATCTTGAACATGCCACAGTGTAATCAGAAGTACGTATTTCAAACCCACTTGTAAGACCCAGTCCATACAACAAATGAAATGCATACATGTCACATGTGGAGCATATGGGGTATGATTTGAGTCCTGAATCCTCCTGTCCATCTTTGGACAAAAAATGCCCAGTTTTCTCTATTGCAGTTAGTATTTTTTAAAGCTTTTCTTCAAAATATAGAGTGTTTCTGAAGGAAGTATCTTAGCTGATTTATAAGCAGAGAATGCTGGTGGTGCTCTTTTTTTCCTTCTTACTTTTCTTACTGCAGAGTACTTTGACCACTGTTAAACAGTTTAGCTAGATCCAAAAGGATACTGCTAACATAAACTAGTAAACCACCAACAGCATTGTATCCCATGTCAAAGGCCTTGTACAATGTAAAAGCTAAAGGTATTCAGATTAAATCTCTCCTCAGGACAATTTATAAATAGAAAGCTTTTCAAAAATGAGATTTCTTTCTTCCTCTCCTGCCCTTTCTTTGCCATGAATACAACAGAAGGAACCTTAAAGCTCTTGCTTGTCCTCTCTTTTTGCCTTTCTTGACTCAATTTTTATTTCAACTGCAGAAGCTGAAGAAGTAGTTCAAATGGAGGGGGCAGAGGGAAATGTGAATCTAAAACCTGGATATTGTTGTCCTTCATAGCAGTGGAAAAAAAAAAAGTGGAGAAGTTAAATTATAAAAACAGCCAAAACAACAACAACAAGACCCCCAAAACCATGGAAAAGAATAAATTTATGCATTTTGTGGGGGGGAGAAGGGGGAAATGGACACAGGCTGGCAATTAAAACTTCAACAAGCTGAAAATTCTAACTACAACATTCCAATGAAAAAAAGACAGTAAAAATGCCATTTCCCTGTGAACATCTACATTTAATGAAGTATAGCATTTCTAGTGGGGAAAATATTCCTATTATGGCTTCTGGGAACAAGGAGAGCAGCAGAGCAAAAACACTATCTTCATCAAGGTCTGCACTCAGGGAGTCATTGCTCCCAGAGCTCAAGGAGGATAATGCTCAGGTGGAAGAGGAAGTGGGTGACAGAGGGACTTGGATGAAGGAAAGGAGCATTGGAGCAGGGCAGAAGAGTTAGCGGGGGTGATAGGGGGGGAGAAAGGTGGGCAGGAGGAAGCAGGCACCTCCAACAGGTTTTAAAGACAGGAATGACTGATGGGCTTGGGAAAGGTGTGCATGTATTTGCAGAGTGCATAAATGGGTCTGCTGATGACTTCTTTTCAGGGGGTATTGAGGTACCGGTGAAGGGGAAAAAAGCTGCTGGTGTTGACAAAGATTTCATTGGTACTGCGTGACCCAGGGCATTTATGGAGCTGCTGTACCCCTGGCTCAGAGCTAAATTACTTCCCAGATGTAAGAGAAACAAGCAATCGCTCAGACTGATCTCCTGTTCTTTATAGCTTCAGTCCTCAGTGCTCATTCAGCAATAGGCAGCTGGTTCCATTTCCTTGGTTTAGAGGTTCTGACACCAGTAAAAACAAAACAAAAAAACTTTTAATCTTCCAGCAACAAAATACACTGCAGAGTTAAGTAAACGAGACCTGTTGGAGCACCCTTGCTTTCAACAAGCTTTCTCTCAGCAAAGAAGTGGTTGTTTGGGAAGATCCTCTGAAGCTGGGGGAGGGAGGCTGCATTAGCATTTAAATCCACGTGATGGTTTCTTTATCAAGAAATCTCTTTCAGATCATAACCCTTTGATGATTATTCAGCCCCAATTCTTCCCCTACTTTACAGTTATTTTAACATCTCTGAAGAGCTGCCAACATACGTACTTTAGCAGCCAATGACTGTAATGCTGCTTCTTTTTATTGGCATTCAGTTTTAAAGAGTTGACAGACAGTAAATAGTAAGACTTCTCTGTACTGTTCTGCAGTAATTTGTCCTAGGGTTGTAAATCTCTTGTTCTGCTGTCTGCTAAACAAAATCACTATTTTGGGAAGAGACTGAGCAAACAGAGTATTGTCCCATTTTATGTAGGTTTTGACGGAATGGCTATTACAGTATCTGTTGAGGTTTTTTTTTTATTTTCAAGGCAAAAGAAGCAACTTACTACTGAAAATGCTGGTTTGTCATGGACTTTTTTACAGAAAGAGGGGTCTGTTAAATTTCCAGAATAATTTTTTTTCAAATATGTTGTATTTTCCATACAGATATGTCATGCAAGCCTGGAGGAGAATGATATTTAAAGATTTTAGAATATCTTCTTGAACTGTAACAAACAAACAAGCAAGTGACTAGCTATGAGGAGCAGTAATAATTCCCAATAGTCTAAACATTTCTTATTCTGTATTTTTCTCTCTCTCTGGTAGACACCTTGCATTTCCAAGACTGAAAATCAGCCTCAAGGACTTGCCACAAGTGTCAGGTGGGGACAGACACCCATCAATCAGTCCACACCCTGGGACACAGATGAGCCTCCATCTAAACAGATGAGGGAGAATGAAAACCCAGGTATGTTTCTAATCTTATTTGTAATTCTACAAGAGAAAATCATTCAGAGCAAATTCAATACACCATCTCCATTTACCTTCATAAATTAGACTTCATTGTGAGCCCTTTCTTTATTCTGTAGCAGGATTTTTCTTTCATTGTAGACACCCCTCAAGTTTCTTCTGTGCTGGGGCTAATATAAATGTACTAAAATGCCTGCAAGTTCATTAGAGTGCATTTTGGTTTGTTTTTTTTCTCCTCTGCCTTCACTACAGTAAGAGGCACTTTCTAATACTTTAAGACCTCTTTTATGTCCAGAACTACCTGAAATGATTTCCAGCTTCCAGACACATATCATACATTGTGCTACTATGCCAGACGCCTAATTACAATCTCTTTGTAGTGGCTGGAGCACCGTTATTATACACACAGAGTGTTTGTCAGGGAGCCATGAAAGCACGGTGGGGAAAGAGGTTAATTTCCTTGGAAGCGCGTGCTTAAGCTGCGTAGAGCACAAAATGTATAAAACCGCAAACACGCCGCACGTCACCTGACGAGTATTTTAACAATTGCGCTCCCATCACGGCAGCAATTTTAAGCACTTACCAGTTGGGAACAGCTCCCAGACCCTGAGCCGCTCGAGGAGCTGTGAAGGAGAAGGGTGCGTTGGGGCGATGCGGGAACAGGAAGGCGCGGGGGTGTTGGTTTTCCTTGGTGCCCGTGCCGTGCCCAGCCCGCCGCCACCGCCGCCCTTCCT